ATCCATTATTGGTTTAGTCTACATGGTGTTGATAACCATGCTGCCCTCAGGTTATTATAGTGTGGACGCTAAGCTGTGAAGAGGGAGCAAGTGATTTTTCTTGGAAACTGCTTTCACACAGTGTAATAGTGAGTCTCTGCCGGTATGTCAAATGACAAAAAAAATCATCAACAAGTTAAATAAACAATTTAAAAAACTTGGATAGCTTGATGAAGGGAAAAGCACAATTTATTTTCTATGCTACAGAAAAGGACTCTATATTTACACATTTTGATAGGCTTGTTCTGGTAAAACATAGCATTATGCAGCAAAATGGATTCACACACAGTATGAAATGTTATGGCTTCTAATTTGAAATACTGTATGTAACATTTTGGAGGATATTTCTTTTAACTATAAAAGAGATACTACTAACATTATCACTAACCACAAGGAAGCTGCAACATCTGATCATTAATGCTAATATTCTTCTTATGTTTCTGAGGGATGGACTGCAATATTTCCAGAATAATTTAAAGCCTCCAAATACTGAGGCTTTCAAGGGGAACCAGGATCCAATGTAACTACCGTTATACCATCACACGTCAACTACTGCTTTGAGAGAATTCAGACTGGAAGAAAGTCCCTTTGGCTGTTTCGGTTTATGGATATGAAATACAGGACATGAGGGATATGAAGATGTGCCTGTGGCCCTAATTAGGAACCAGGAAATAGTACATTGTGTCATCCTGCACTTCATTATGAAGACTATATTGCAATAGCCTGATATATCAGCTGGCCATTTTTTGCTGATATTAGTGTTTATTTCCCTTATATCGACCAATAAGTGCATGCGTTGGTCGATTCATTCAGCACACTGTACCATGATATCTCATCAAGGACATGCATAGCTATCCCCCCCATCAGCGATCCATTGTTAATGCAATGTTAATAAAAACAAAATGTTTTGTCACTTCAGATGGAGATACTCTTACCTGAGTGAGTTAATTCATAGGTGTAAAAGGCAGGGCTACTTTTAGGACACATTTTTTAAAGTATGTTTTTATATATCTTCCAGTTTGCACTGAAGAAACTGTTGACAGCCAGGGGCAACCTTCCCACTGTAATGACCAAACTGGGCATGTTAATCTGTGAATGGCTGCTGTGCCAAGCGCTCTGCTGATGCATAAATATTTTTACAAGACTTTGGACTTTCTGCCTGATTTCAAAGAGAAAAGGGTATTTTTCCTCTGCGTGTGCAAATGCAACTAGTGCTGTCCATTCCTTTCTCATCGTAGAAGTTTTCCTATAAAGCAGTTGTACCAGCTAGAAAATTCTAATTTATTAGGTGTTTCTCGTTAGTCCTCTAGTAGAGCAGCCTTAGGAGATGCAATTCTGCCATTTAGAAAGGAAATAACTACCTTGATAACATTGATAACCTTGACAACATCAATGCTGTTTACATTTTTCTAATTATGATCAAATTAAAGAGGCAATAATATGACTCTTTACCAGCACAGATGCTCTACCAAAAAACATTGTTAATCAGCCTGTTGAGTTTTTTTTTTTTTTTAGATCAATATTTCGTTTAAGGGTCTTTATCTTAGGTTGTTAACAGGAATATGATTTTTTTATTTTTTATTGTTGCTTACATCATAATTGCAATAAGCAACACAGCATACCATCACCAGCGTTTAGGTCCATATTGCCAATCCCCTGCAGAAACAACAAACAGTGCAATTTTTGATAGAAGTATGTTATTCTAGTCTGTATTCAACATAGGTTAAATCGTTTGAATCTTAAAATTCAGTATTGCTTAGTTAGTTAGCACTTTTCATTTATATTCTGGATGATTTGTCCTCGAAATCTTGACAGTAGTTCTTCCACAACTGAATCCCCTTTAGACGGCACCTCTGGTTCCCTATTTATCCCAAAGACCATGGGTGTTAAGCTGTTCTTTTCTTTCTCTATTTCTGTCTCTCTCTCTGTACAGTACATCATCTCATTTTCACTGGTGTCTCGACAGCCAGGAGCCCTGGCCTCATCATCAGTGTGTGCATGTGTGGTGGGCTCCTGCTGACGCTGTATGTCGCTGCAGACTGACGTCAGCACTGCTTCGCTTTTCTCCATACAAATGTCCTGCATGGCTATGTACCATTGATAGGCCCCCCAACCCCCCACGCTGTCTTATTAGCATGTTTTTATCAGTTCTCGCACCTCTCACACTGCAGAGGCAGGCTAATATGACACAGGGGTGTAAGTAACTGGCTGTCTTAATAGCTTGCACCGGTTTATTGACTCCAGTTTGGAAATATTTACGACCCGTTTTATGTTGAAATACTGTGTGTGAGAGGGGACTTTTTTTTTTAAAGAGCCCACCTGTGTGCATCTGGTGGTTGTGGCGAGTGTGTTGGGGGGCTTTAAATTTAATCCATAAGCCTCTCTTTTATACCTTGTCTTCATACATCTTAGGCTTAGTTTTTCTGCTATTTTTTAAAGTGTGCATGGATTATCTCTAAAAATTTGTGCACTATAAATCAACCTAACACAAGCGGCTCCTGCAACTTTGCTCACAGCGTCACACAGAATCTCACATGCATGAGATATGACCAGTTGTAAATGTTTAAAGATAGCAAAATACATTCAAAAACAACTTTACTTCCTTATATAGTATAGAAATATTGCGCTACCAAAAAGAGCAACTGGTCACACTTCTAAATTTTTTAAATGAAGAGAATATAACTTACCTGCTTAAATTTAAATAAAATAATTAGAAGAATAAAATATTTAAGATGTGTCAAACTGTTGATGTAAAAATGGCTACCTGTTATTCAGCTGCTTTATTCAGCATAAAAGTCATGGTTGTGCAGATGTGTTTATCAAGATGCAGGAGTTCGGGTGTTTTAGTCTCTGTTTGCCTTCAACTGTCCTCAAACTAAATTTAGTTTTCTTTCAATCTCAGAGCAAGTAAAAAAGTCAACCTTCTTTTGGTGTCTTATGCACTAATCTTACAGAGGTGAAAGGAAAAGTATGATGGGATGGTTGCACAGATTGCATGCATGGTGCACTATAGTGTGACTGCAGACATTTGAGAAGGTCTGGCTCTGTGAAGGTCTAATGCTGAATCTAATATCAACCCACATCTCACTTTTTTCTCATGTTTATGTCTTCTGCCCTCGTCCCTTCTTTAATGTCTGCCTCTGTTTCAACTCTTCCTTCTCTCTCTGTAAACAAGCAGAAGGCCAGTAACTCTGTCCTCCGGCCTTCTCCCGCCATCTCGTTGCCATGGTGTGCGGATCATTGTTTGCTGGCCTCTGTGTCGGGTTGCCATGGCAGGGCTTATTTGCCATATTAAATGTTTGGCAGCATTGTGCAGATGCTGATGACAAACACCCAACAGCCCACTTTGATCAGTGATGCAGGTACTGATTAGAGGAAGTGGACCCTCTGATCTATTTAGAAAATGTAGTCTTAGATCCAACCTGCTCCAGGTTACATGCATTTGTTTAAGTTTTTGGTTTGATAAATGAAACAATTTAAATCTGACATAGCTAGTTCTGCTGAATCAGATTAAATGATCTACAACATATAAGTTGTGATGCTTTTTTGTTTTGTTTTTTTGCTCTTCTTTTTTATCTCTTTGTGTTTTAATGAGACATTGTCTTTTTTATCACTGACCATATGTTTACCAGTTAGGGTTTGGTTTGTGTTTCTTTTGAAAAAGCTTTTGTTTATTTAGATTCAGTCATCTCCCCCTTGTGTCAAAAATGGAGAATGCATGGTGGGTTAACAAAAAGCGTGTGTCACAGCAGTGAAAGTTCTTGCTGGATTTTAAGAAATCGAAAAAAATTTAACAGTTTTACAAATCAAAATATATTTAAAAATTTGTAAACAATGTCAAATCTGTTTCACTCCAGGCCCATATCTGCGTATTGAACTAGATGCTTATAACAAAGATAATAAACCTCGGGAAAAAAAAAAAAAAACTCCAGAGGCAGGTTTAATCAGGATAAAAATATATTCAAATAAGAGAATAGGAAATCCTGATTGCTTGGGTTTGTATCTGATAGCACAAGGTTATTTTAAACTCATCTTTTTACATTTCCAGGATTGTAAGCTACCTGCTTTGAACAGCCAAACATTCTTAAAGTATTTAATCTTAAACTCTTCATTGCTGGATTTGTATATAGTCAATAAAATACTATTTTTGGATACACTTTTATTATTTTTTTAATGGTGCTATCAAGTGATGTAATGGTGTCCTGGTCCATGACCCATATCAGCAACAGTTGGTGAGTTATACCTTTTCCCTCCGTGTCAAAGACAAAGTTAAAACCTAATTTACAGCAATAAAATGTTCTTTTTATTGTGTGTATGACAACAACACAACAAGTACTCTTCAGCTGGAGCACAAAACCCTCCTTAAATGCTGTCTTGAGCAATTGATATATGCTTGATTTATACTGCAATCATACTTGACATTGGAGATCAGGTTATTTCAGGTTCACCAGTATAGTGTTACACAACCCCTGCCAGCTTTGACCCCACCGTGCTATAAAGTGTGAGAGCTCCTGTGTACCAACAGATAGCATGGAAATGCTGCCGATTGACGTAGTTGGGGCTTAATAAGATCTCATAACTCTATTGTAGACGCACCACAGTGGTTTTAGTGGTTTGCTTTACTGCTTTCTGCTCTCATTGAACGTTATAGTTGTGCAGCATGCGACTTTACAGTGCTTGGAGTGGAGTGAGTGCATGAAATGGTACAGGAAATTCTTAATGTGAACTTTTACTACACTGTGTGTTTAGATAACAGGCAGAATAGACTAGCAGAGGCTGCGTGGCTCTGCTGCTGACCCACCCATGCCCTCTTTGACGCAGTAGGCTCAAAGTGGAGCACAGGTCAAGGCCTGTGGATACCCGTCATATTATCTTTAACACACATGCATGTATATCTTATGTTGATGTTTGGGTGACAGCTATATATATAAATATATATGTGTTGTTGTTTTTTTTCCCAGATGATCTTGTGGGACTGGGATCTGAAACACTGGTACAAACCACAGTATCAGGTCAGTACTGCATCTGGTTTAGCTCACTTTTTGAGTTTAAAGGTCATTCAGGAAAATTCCCTTTTTTTTAAAGACCTAAACTCACCTTTAGCACTTCCTCACATTTTTGCTCTACATTGTGTAAAAACCCTTATTGCAATGGCCCTTGAGTCATCATCATGCCACTTTTTTTTTCTTTTTTTTATCTCACCCAGACTCTTTTGTGTGCTGTTTGAACTATTTGTGTAATCTGTTAAAGAATTCAGCAGCCAAAGGCCAAAAGTCATTGTTTGTTCGTGTTCTTGACAAAATCGACCCAGTAGGAACATTTTCTGTTATGAAAGCTGGCCCTAAAAAAAAGTGAAGATTACACTGTGATGGATTACTTTTAACTTAATTTATGAGATTTCACTTTTGATATAAGCAAAGCTCCCCCACTTTCAAAATGGAATTGAGATATTGTTTTGTTTTCCTCCCAAAACATTGTGCTTTATTGTTTCTGTCTTATGTTGTAAGAGCCTGGAGGATTAGAAAGGATGAGGGGAATGAACTTGAAGAGGAAGTCAGCAATGATAAATACAGTGGGGATAATAAATATTGGACTCTAGAATGTTTTTCTCAGTAAATATGTTCCTCTGGCTGCTATCATATAATTCCCACCAGATGTCACTAACATCCTAGGTAATCTACAAAGAAAAGGAAATCAACACAAATTACTCTTAAAATGATTTGCAATAAACCCAAATGCCACATGAGAAACCAAATGAACTGAAATCCATGAAATACTTGCATGGTGCATGCATGGCTCAGGTGTGATTTGAATTTATTCTTCCACACAAACTGCTGTCAAATCTGGAAGGTTCCTGGATCATTTTCCATGAAATTCAGATTTAAATCTGCCAGTTTAATGAGCAATATCTTGCTACATTCATCCTTCCAGCTACATGAAGTCTGCCAGCACAGTATTCTGATAAATAGTCCGACACAATGTTTTTGTGTGCAAACTTTACTGTTGGAAATTTATCTATTTTATAAGAATGCATTGGCTCTACCAGATCTTCAATAGCAAATTAGATGACCTGTTTTTTTTTTTTTTAGTTTTTACAGCACCATTGGCTTGTTTTTTCGACAATAGGCTGACAGGAAAGGGGGAATGAGAGAGAGAGAGAGAGAGAGAGAGAGACATGCGGGAAAGTACCACAGGCCAGATTCGAACCCGGGTCACCCACGCCGAGGACCAAGGACTCGGTATATAGGTCAGGTGTGCTAACCACTGTGTCACCTGCACCCCGAGATGACCCGATTTTTGTTTTGATTTTTGCTTAGCAGTTGAGGTTTGTGCAGAGAGTAATCATAGAAGCCACTGTGGTTAAATGAACTAGAGGAACAAATCCCACCAATGGAGATTGGTAAAAGATAAGCCCCTTTAATAAGGCTAGTAGGTGTGCATTATTTATAGATGATGTTGGTGAACCAATGGTCATTTACCCAGAATAGACTTGGAGAAAATATTGGCTATCTACTTCAACATATGCATGTATAGGGTTAGGTTTATCAACACTCGTTGTCGAAGTCATCTTCCGCTTCATCCAGGGTCAGCAGCCTCAGCAGAGACTTCCAGCCTTCCCTCTCCATAATACACCTCCTCCAGCTCCTCAACAGAAGCCCAAATCACTCCGAAGCTGTCATGATGGATCAAAGGAGCAAGCCCATATGCAGAACACACACGGAGGAGGCATGGAAAAAGTTCAAATGTTTATTAAAAGTTCTGAACACGTGAGCATAACAAGTTCTGAGACTGGTTCACTGAAGTCTTGACTGGGACTGGAGACTGTTGGTTAGCAGGGTTCATGAGAAGCTAAGCGTCTAGCTTCAGGCTTAGCATGGCAGACCTTGATTTGAGCTTCCAGCTCACTGCAGAGAACAACAGGGAATATCCACATAGGATTCTTCAGGCTGATTCCACATAGGAATCTTCAGGTAAACTCCATATAGAAGTCTTCAGGTTACATCCACATAGGAATCTTCAGGTTGGCTCACCAGGGCAGATTAGCAGGTTAGGCTCACCTAGAGCTTCAGGCTAGAGACAGGTTTCCTGTGAGGCAGCTCTCCCAGAGCTTCAGACTAGAGACAGGTTTCCTGTGAGGCACAGACAAAGGAGAGATTAGAATCTGATCTCACACTAGAGACAACTAAGCTTCAATCAGTAACAGAGGCTCAGGTTGCTAACCAAACTAAGATCAACACTGCGGCTTGGAAGCAAGGTCTGGCAGGAGCTTATAAAGGGGAGGTCTCCTGATGAGTAGACGAACAACAGGTGTGCTGGAAGACTCCAGCCCTAGGAGACCTACGGCGCACTCTGCTGGAGACAGAGGGTAATCTCCAGATCCCAACAGTAACTCCAGTCCTAAGAGACAACAACAAGAGACAGAAGAGGATCCTCGGCGCCCTCTGGTGGGCAAGCCTGAGGATCCCAACAGAAGCCAGGCGAGAAACATAGTCCCTCCATCAAGTCCCGGGTTGTCCTCTAGGCTTTTTCCCGGTGGGACTGGCTTAGAACGCCTCCCGAGGGAGGTGACCTGGGGGCGTCCGAAAAAGATCTCCAAGCCACCTCAGCTGTTGTTATCAACATCCAGTGTGAATTTTAGGTTGATTGCCCCATTAGAACAATATTTACTGAGAAAAACATTGATATTTTTAATACTTTTTTTTTCTCTCTGCATAAACCCAGAAAAACATAAATTGGAGGACCTTAAATTGTCACCATCCCCTTCTTCCTGGGTTAGAGAACGAAAAACTGCCCCACAACAGTGGGGAAACACACAGTAACAAATAACACCCATCACTTAAGGTGCTCCCTTAAATGCATCTGCTCTCTAAGCAAGGATTTGGTTTGGTGTCTTGTGGCAGGGTGCAGTGAGTGGCAATGGCGTGGATCTGTCAGTCATCAACGAGGCCAGGAACTTGGTGTCGGAGCTTCTGATGGACTCCTCACTTTCGCCGAACACAGCCGCCACTCTACGCAGCATCTCAAGCCTGATGGGGACCTTTTCAGGCTCATGTCGCCCCAGGGTCAACCCATTCACGCCCTTCCCGGGATTCTACTCTGTAGAGTCAGAGGACTCTGCAGAGAGGAGCGACAGGAAAAGTGTAAAGGTGAGCAAAGGTTTCGCCAGAGCTGTAAACCCTCCTATCTGCTTAAGTTGTCCATATTGATGATTTATTGATTTCCTTTTGGTTTTTTGGCAATATTATGACATAGACAGATCTTATGATATGGAGGTATTTGTACAGCAATCCAGTGTTTAATAGGTGATAACTGACAGAGTTTTTATTCCCCGTGCATCTTGCATCCTTGTGCTGAACTTGATAAGAATTTCTATAATGTCCACAACCTTTGGTTGTGACCACATTTGTGTTGCTTCATCAGTAATTGTTTGACAGATATTCTCTTAAATATGACCTTCCTCTGTCTGCCAGGGTTTGAGCAGCAGAAACAGCCTCCCCACCCCTCAGCCCAGGCGGAGTTCGACCTCCTCCACATCCTCTGCACTCCCTTCGCTGGACTCAACCTCTTCTCGCTGGGAGCGCAACAATGGAAAGAGACCCCACTGTGACCTCAGTTTGACCAGGTATCAGATTTATACCAGGTCTATATAATGTCGATGAGTTCTATTTATATACTTCTCAAAAGGAGGTTTAAAATCAAACCTCAGTTGTTTTAGGTCCATCCAAATAGCTTTATAGATGGGTTCTAGTAAAACACATTGAAGGTCCAGTAAAATCCTGACTAACTACTTTAAGTGCAGACCTGGTTTGAGTAAAGGTCTCTCAATTATAGCTGGAGGTAACATGGTTTTGTTTAATTTGCAATAAATACTTTTTTCAGTGTTTTCTCTGGGTGCTCTGGCTTCCATCCACAGTCTAAACACATGAACATTAGGCTGATTGTTCTCTTAATTGCCCTAGGGTATGATTGTGTTTGGGTATGATTGTCTATGTGTTATAAATAGGTTGTACCCTGCCTTTATAAACTTTTGCTGCTTGAGGGGTCACATCAACCAGAGACGCTGATCTGGGAGCTGGCAGGAAGACAGAAACAGCACTGCTGATGCGAAGCTCTGCTATCACTCCTCTAAAACTGTTTATTAATGCCTAAATTAACTTAAAATGTCAAAACTTATTGAAAAAAATATGTTTTGGTATTGAGGTGGGCTTTTCTCGTGTAAAAAAAAATTTAAACTATTTTTTACCAGCTTATCACAGCAAATATAACAAAGCCACCCTCTGCCATTGAACAAAGGGGCAGCACAAGCATTAGATGCATCTGGACATACTTCGCTGGATGCGCCTCAGGAGCATCAAGGACGTTCTTGACGAGCGTCTGACGTTAATGTGTACAAGCTTTAAAAATGAAGCAGCAGTTGCTTTTTTGCTGTCCAGAGCGCGTGTGGTGTGACCGTAGTATTAAACTGCTTGAGACAATGATGAAGTAGTAGAGGATGTAGGTTTATTATTTTTGTTTTGTTTTGTAAAATTTGTTTTGTTTTGTTTAAACTGAGACTTCTGTAACTTTTCTTATCATTGTGTTTTTTAATGTAAATAGAGAAGGATAAAACAATATAGGCTTAAAGATTAGCCAAAAATGTAGGTTGTCTACATTGGTATCAGCTGTAAAAACCTGTATTGGTTAAAATGTTTTAATTCAAACTCTGTTATGTAAAAATCATGGAATTAATTATACAACAACATCCAAATTTCTGATTTTTTTTTGACAGGTTTCAGCTGATTCATCTGCTCTTCCTGAGGGAGAATCTTTAGCCATCCGTTTATATTACCTGCTCATAATTTAATGGCAATAGCTACGTTATTTCTTATTTTGCGTACTACCACTCACATTGTTATCCTTTTCCAGTTTAAATTCTGCTTAGTGCTATGACTAAAAACTAAACAGCTGACTTGAATTATTATGCTTTATATTTTGTCATGCTTATTTTGAAATTAGATTGTTTTAACACTTTGACACTACTAAAAGTTTTGAGTGAGCCAGTGACTGAGAGGAGGAAATATTTCCAGGAAGCTCACTATGTCGGAATTTACAATGCCAAACATTACTCACTAGGTCTGTTTGGGTTTAACAAGCAGTCTGAGTATATCTGCATGAATCAGAGTTGATTAAAAAAAATCTATTGGCTTTGTATTTTCTTTCATTTAGCTTGAACTGTTTACATATTACTCTTTTGAAGAAAAAAATATTTTTTTACTTTGATGTGTGGTGTTGCCTCTACAGTATATTTCCACTGGGTGGCAGGAGAGAACTGCTTTAAATACTATTAGCAGAGTTTAAGTTCTGTGATTGTTCTACCTTTTTAAGTATAGGGAAGTGTTGTCTCGATGAAGAAAATAGCTAATTCGAATTTTTTTTTTCTCTTTTTTTTTTGTTTGCTACAGCTCAGCTCTGACTAACGGTCCCAATGCAAACCTCCTCACCATTCCAAAACAGAGATCCTCCTCTGTTACCCTAACATACCATGCTGGGCCAAGAAGAACAGGTGAGACTTTACTATCCAAACTCACATATTTGATGAAATTACTAAAGCTCTTTCTCAGTGTTGGTCCTTCGTCTTTTCCCCACCCTGTTCATCCTTTCTAGGCACCTCTCCAAGCCTTAGCCCAGTCACCTCGCCAAGCCATAGCCCTCCGACGCTAAGTACAGGTTCCTCATCGACCGTCAGTCCTCGGTTGCCTGTGGAGTTTCCAGACACAGCCGACTTTTTGACAAAACCCAGTGTCAATCTGAACCTCCACAAGCCCTTGGTCCACACAGTCAGCTCCACTGATTTCCAACAGTCATTTCGTAGCTCTGCCTTCTCTCTTTGCACCAGGTGAGAGACATGATATCTAGGGCCCAGTCTCATTGGAGTCTGATTAACATGCTTTAATGTGGTCTGTAATTGTCCTAAAGCTGTGGTCGGCAGATGCTCAAGGGAATTTCCAGCAGTGAGTCGGGGGACTCACATCAGCTGTTCACCAGTGAGGCTCAACGGAGGCGCTCAGGTACAACGGTTATTGCAGTCAATCTTGTTTTCTGATCCAGTTCAGTGAAAGAGAAACCCTTCAAACCTGTATATCAAGAGATTAATGCCGCCCTCTTCTGGACTCTTATAGTACTGCAATTCTTGCTTTTTAAAGCCATTAGAACATATACAAACACCCGTGAATTTATTCAGTACATTTTAGAAACAACATAAACAATATAGAAACAATTAGATCCACTTTTTTTTTACTTCTAGGTTTGTGTTATCTCAACACCTTACTATACACCACTCACTTGTTATTTGTGTTCACAGTGGCAGAAGGGCTGGATTATGTAGGAGGGGATTCTATCAGGGAAGAGCCGGACGTGTCTGGAGATGGGAAGCCAGATGCTGAAGGAAAACAAGGAGTGGCAGAGGAGGAAAGGGAGAAGATCCTAACTGCAGAGCTACAGACTCACAAATCAGACGTGAGTTTGATTAGATTACCTCTCCTCTACATAGTTCACCTATGTATCAGGGTTAGAGTTTTTTTTTCACTGAATGAATAATTGTTTTAAAGATGGGTATTTTAGCATTTATTATTATACTGCTTCTTAAGTTCTGGAGGACTTACATGTCATCTAAATTTCTTATCGTTAATGTGATTATCATTGGTTTGTTAGTTTTTCTTTCTTTATATTATTCAATTTGGTGTGTTTATATTGTGGTTGCCTGCAGGGTGAACAGGAGTTCAGGCTTGATCCCATGCTGGAGGACCATGAGGGTCTCATGGAAAAGATGGACACCTGGAACTTCCAGATTTTTGACCTTGTAGACAGAACTGGAGGGAAAACCGGAAGAATCCTCAGCTACGTTAGTACCAATGCAATAAACTAAGCATTTACATTAGTATGGGCTTTTATTAATTAAAGATAAAGATAATTTAAAATGTTTGGTAATTTACTGTCTTAAGCCTTTAATATGGATGGTTTGGGGGAAAAGAGATGCGTACATTGTCTGTAATGAATAAGAACAAACTAATACCACAGATATATGTTGTAATATTCTCCAGTGTGATACAGCCTCTAAAGGGCAGTCTCATGTCTCGCTGTAATATTCTCAGGTGACATACACATTGTTCCAGGACATGTGTCTGTTCGAGATCTTCAAGATCCCTGTAAAGGAGTTCATGTCCTACTTCTTTGCTCTGGAAAGTGGCTATAGAGACATTCCCTGTGAGTATAAAGCTGTGCTGAGGTCAGAACATTTTAAACAACTATGTTTCAGTTAAAATACAGATTTTAGTTTCCCATACATCATTGTTTAAGCTTGAAACAATATAGAAATTTGCACTGATATTTATATAATTACTACTAATGGACAATAACCAATATTTATTGATTGATATAGATTCCTTTCGTTCCATTGACGACATAAAAAAATACAAGTGTTGATACTACGTTAATGCCAATTATATGTGATGCACCAGGAATAAAACACCAGGCTCAGAGCTCATCTGCCTGGCTGTGTGTTTCCTGGACGGGGCGGCCTTTTACAGCT